GCGCTGAGATCCTTAAATAGGGCCCCTAGTGTTTCCTCTGACAGGACTGTATTTACTGTATTTCATTTAATGCTCGGAATCAACTTTCACGCATCAACACGTGTGTTTCCTCACAGATTTTCCTCTCTAGAGATATGTGTCACCTCATGATGGGCATCTGGGTTTGGATCCGCTCTGCAAACGTGTGGTCGACGTTCTTCCTGAGCGCGTTCCACTTCCAGACGCTGCGCCGCGTGGCTCCGCCGGTGATTAGCCTTCACGGGCCCCGCGGGCCCCCCAGACCCCTCGTGCTCGGCTTCGGCCTCATCTGGAGCCTCAACCTGGGCTACGCCATCCCCGCCTTCATGTTCTCCAAGAACGGAGACGGGAACTCCACCGAGGTCAGTCTGTGTCAGAGGCTGACATGTTTCGGGAACAAATCACCAGTAATCACGGGATTGGGACAGGAAAACATGTCAGTGGGAGTGGGCGGGACCGGGAATCGTAATAACACTGCGATACCCAACTTTATGCACAAATATACCATTTATATAAATAAACGATATATTTATATTTTGAGCGCTGTCTCCTTATGCTCTCCGCTTGCTTTGCGGTGTCTGGGTGAGTGAACGACGCGCTCCCCCCGTACAGTTGGTGGCGGTTAAGTTGCCGACCCCCAATAATATAAGAGAAGAAGAAGAAGGCTTCTTCATGCACTTTGCAGCCGCGAAAATCACAATCAAAATGGAGTCCGACATGAAAGCCACGCTGCAACGACTAATGTCGGAAAACGATCCCTCAGTTGTGCTCGCCGGCACTTCTGAAGAAACACACCATGTTTGAAAAACGGAGTGAAAATTTGGATATATAATGTGTGTGTGTGTGTGTGTGTGTGTGTGTGTGTGTACGTGCCTGTGTGTTTGCATGGATGATTTACGTACATGAAATTTAATGTGTGTGCATTGTTTAAGCTGGCTTTCAGTTTAATAAAATAACATAAAAAACTACATTTGGGATTTTTATTCAACTAAGGTGGGCATGCTGTGAACTGTCCTGTGTTTTACTGTAACGGACAGATTAGGAGGAATTCTCCGGAGGAAAGAAGAGGTTTGAAAATGCAGTCTGTGTGTGTTTATGATCAGCGTTCAGCTTGTGTTTGACCTGGCTTGACCTCCGACCCCTCCTCAGACGCTGATGTTGGTGAGCAGCACCACTCGGCCGCTGTTGGGATGCATCTGGGATTTTCCGTCGGCCTACAGCGGCCTGGCCTTCGCCACCTCCTCCATGGTGATCCATGAATCCATTCCCATCTTCCTGATGAGCGCCACTAACCTGGGCTCCTTGTTCACGCTGTACACTCACGGACACAGTCGCAAGAGTCCGGACGCGCCCGTCGTCACCCGGATCCCAGCGGAGCGGCGGGCCGCTAAGGTGAGCAGCCGGATCTCACGGCCGGAGATCAGGAACGCTTTGGGAAATAGAACCAAACTTGGTTGTTTTTAAAGAGACACTTAGCGGGAGTCAAAGAACACCATAACATTAAAGTGTAAAAACATTATAGGTTTCAGTTTACTGTAAAGCAAACGTACTAAACATTTTAATGTTTATCATTTTAAAATGTATATTTTACAAAATAACTTTGACACTGAAATCGCAAGAAATTTAAAGTCACGCGTCTAACCAAGTTGTGTACCAAATTTGAAGTTGATACCACAAAAATGTAGCTTCCTAAATCGAAATTATGATAAATTAGATAGATAAATAGACAGATAATAATAGATAATAGATAAATAGATAAATCGAAGTCTGAATGATGAGACGAAAAGATGAAATTGTGACACACCAATTCATTTTGAGATTAAAAAGTCAAAATTATGGCAATATAAGTGATAATTCAACATACAAATTGATAATTTCAACATTTCATATCATAACTAGGACATAAAAAGTAAAAATTATGAGATAAAAGTTGAAATTGTGAGTCAAAATTATGACACGCCAATTAATAATTGTGAGATTAAAAAATCTAAATCATGGCATTATGGCAAAATAAGTGATAATTAGGACATACAAATTGATAATTTCAACATTTTATATCATAACTAGAACATAAAAAGTAAAAATTATGATATAAATGTAATTATGGCATAAAAAGTCCGAATTTTGACAAAAAGTCAAAAATATAACACCTAAGTATAAATTATGAGATGAAAAGTTGAAATTCTGAAAAAAAAAAGAGATTGAAAAGTAACAATTATGGCAATATAAGTGACAATTAGAAAATAAAAAAGTCAGAATTTTGACCTTATATCATAACAATATCATTATATCATGATATTGAAAGTGTGACATAAAAAGTCAAAATTATGACACACCAAATCATAATTATGAGGTTAAAAAGGCAAATTTATGGCAATATAAGTGATAATTAGGACACACAATTTAACAATTTTGATATTTTGAGGCGCTTTACTAATAAACACCCGCACTCCATTGAATATTAATGCATTTTCCTGTCAGAAATTATTCAATTCCATCATAAAGTGGCGCATCCATGGTGGAAACGGGCTTGCGAGAGGAATTGTGTGTTTTTAATCTTTCAGATGATGATGATGATTGTGTGTGTGTGTGTGTGTGTGTTTGCTCAGGTGATCCTGGCGCTCAACATCCTCTTCATCTCGTCCTGGGGAACTAACGTGATCTCGGTGAACTACTTCAACTATAACCGCGGCTCCTCCACCGAGTTCCTGCTGATCGTGGCTCGCTTCGCTAACATGAGCTTCATCGCGCTGTCGCCGGTCGTGCTCGCCGTGGGACACCGGAGGCTCCGGGCCTTCGTGAGGGCGGTGCTGTCGAGCCTCCGTCCGGCCGGATAGCCTTCACACACACGGGCCATCCGGACACGGGCAGCAACACATTCTGTTCAACAATGTCACGTACAAACAACATGGCAGCAGAAATACACAATTACACTATGACAGCAGGATCAGGCCATACTCTTCTATAGCAACACGTTTTTCATCATTTTAAGGGCATTTGTATAAGAAAGGAACTCATTGTGAAATACACAGAACTTAGGTTTGTTAACTTAGGATGTTATTAACCTACAAATGGTGTGTGTTGTTTCCCATGCGAGTGCGTGAGTAATGTGGCTGTGAGAGGAGCAACCCTGGGGTCATGAAGCCTCTACTGTACAGCACCAGCACCACACACACACACACACACACACACACAAGTCCTGGTTTCAGATCCGATCCTGCGCTGTACACACACACTGGTGGATATTGCTTTAGGGAATTAGATATTCCTGATCATTTTGTTTGGAAGTTTAATTTCTTTAATAATGTGAGACTTAAGGTTGTAATGAGTCTGAGTGTGTTCTGTGTCTTGAGTGTGTTTGACTGATTAAACTCACGAATGACGACAGTGAATCGGTTCACACTCTTTTTTCCTCATCTAAGACGTGTCTCGTCTGAAGGGAAGTGTGTGTGTGTGTGTGTGTGTGTGTGTGTGTGAATGAAGTCATGCTCACGGCAGTAATGAGGGTTTGTTAAAGGGAAGTGTGTGTTTCGAGTCACTTTGTGTCGTGTGAGATGATAACCACACACCACTGACGAGATCATATAAAAGCATCATTTATTAAAAGTCGACTGATATTCAGATAGATGTCGAACATGTTCATGTTGCTCGTGTGAAACAGCAGAAATGAGGAAAATCATAAAACAAGATTCATGTTTCAAAACCAGACAATGCAATAAAACACTGTAGATTGTGCCTGGAAATGAACAACATTATTAAACTCGGATTCATTCAATATTTAGTTTTATGATCAATGCGTGAATTACCTTCTCTACGGAATCATTAAAAAGTCAAAATTATAAGATAAAAGTGGAAATTCTGACATAAAAAGGAAAAATTGGGATAATTGTGAGATGAGAAGTTGAAATTGCAACAAAAAAAATTAAATTATGAGATTAAAAAGTAAAAGTTAAGGCAATATAAGTGATAATTACTACATTTTATATCATAACTAGAACATAAAACGTCACAATTATGAGATAAAAGTTGAAATTATGGCAATATAAGTGATAATTGGGACAAAAAGTGATAATTTCAACATTTTATATCATAACTAGAACATAAAACGTCACAATTATGAGATAAAAGTTGAAATTATGGCATAAAGAGTCTGAAGTATAACAAAAAGTCAAAATGATAAGACGAAGTATAAATTATAAGATGAAAAGTTGAAACTGTGACAAAAATAAATAAAAATATGAGATTAAAAAGTTACAATTATGGCTATATAAGTGATAATTAGGACATACAAAATCAGAATTTTGAGATAAAAGTCATAGGAGATAAAAATCAAAATTATGTCAAATCTAAATTATAAAATGTATAGTTGAGATTGTGACACGATTAAAAAGTCAAAACTTTAGCATTTTGCCAATATTAGTGATCATTAGGACATGCAAAGTAACAATTTTGACATTTTATATCATAACTAGGACAGAAAAATCAAAACTGAGATAAAAATGAAATTATGGCATAAAAAAGCGAAAATGTTACAATTATTACACTAAGTCATAATTATGAGATAAATCAGAATTATTAGATAAATCTAAATTAGGTGACACGATTAAAAAGTCAGAATTATAGCAATATTAGTGATCATTAGGACATTCAAATTGATCATTTCAACATTTTATATCATAACTAGGGCAAACAAAATTCTAAACTATGAGATAAAAGTTTAAATTACGGCATAAAAATGTTCAAATTATAACACTAAGTCATAATTATGAGATGAAAAGTTGAAATTGTGCCACGATAAAAAAGTCAAAAGTATGGCAATATTAGTGATAATCAGGACATACAGTTTCTATATCAGAACTAGGACTTAAAACGTCAAAATAATGGGATAAAAGCTGACATAATGACGTACAGTTGTGATTTAGCGAAGCATGATTGTTTTTCTACCGTGTTTCCAGTCTCGTCAGCTGATGTCTGTGAACGAGTCACTTCTTCTCGCTCTGTGGCGTTTTCCCGATGGACTCGCTGTTCTCGCAGCGCTGCTCCGCCTCGGGCCGCCGGACCCACCGCGCGCACCGCTCCAGGATCCGGCCGATCCTGCGCCGTAGCTTCCCGTGTCCCAGCACCACCACCAGCGGACTGAAGCCCACGAACAGCGAGGCGGAGAAGTGCGCGATGGTTAGCAGCGCCTCCGAGGCTTTCCCGCCGTTGTGGTTATAGTAGGTGACGGCGGCGACTTGCAGAACCCAGCAGATCACGAATAACGCCACTAGCGCCATGATCACGTGACCCGCCTTCCGCTCGCTGGACACGTGAGGCTCCGCCGCGCCGCCGCCGGACACCGCCCGGATGTGCTTAGCGAGCGCGTGCAGCGTAGCGAGATTCGTTCCCAGCATTAGAATGAGCGGCAGCACTTCGTTTAGCGCTAGCGACGTGGAGGCGAAAGCATATCCGTGGCGCTCGCTAGGAAACTTCCACACGCAGCCCAGCAGGGGGCGCGTCGTACAGCTAATCACCATTATCTCCACTGTAGCGTTCCCGCGCGCGTCTGTGGTGTAGACTAGCGCCGGCAGGGAGAACAGCAGGTTAGCGAGCCACACGGCGGACAGGAGCGCCCACACGCGCAGACGCTCGCGCCGGAGACCCCGCGGGCCCATGGACACGTGCTGCCGCCGCAAGGTCGCGCAGTGGAAGCCGCT